AAAAAAAAAAAAAAAAAAAAAAAACTAATAGAATTTTGTGGAAAGTGGGTGATTGCAGGCTGATTTTAAAAATACAATTTAGGGCTGTGGATAGATCAGAGGTCTAAGCACCTGCCTGACAAGCACAAAGACCCAGGTTCAATCCCCTATACAGAAAGATGTGCCACTGACACTGGGTCTAGTGGTGCACACCTGTAATCCAAAAGCAGGGGAAGCTGAGACAACAGGATCACTGTGAGTCTGAGCTGCATAGTGAGACCCTATAGCAAACAAACAAACAAACAAACAAACAAACAAACAAATAAATGAAAAAATACAGCTTGATGTCTCATGTGGAAGTCAATGCAGCTTTCTGTAGCTTCAGTGATGAAAGATGAGAAAATACCTGTTTATTCAATAGTCCTATCTCTTAATTTACCACACACCACTTTTTGTTTGAGGCATGGCATTTTGGCCACAGGACTGTAAGCAATGTGACAGGTATCACTTCCAGGGTGATGCTTCTTTTACACTTTGGTAGCCAGGGTGGTCCTGTGTCAACATGGCCACATCTCAAGCTGGAAGCAGCCTGAGTCACTGTCCTCATGAAGAAAACTATGCAGAACTGACTGACTTTATCAGTCTTGGTGCAAGCAGGTAATAGGTCTTGGTTCTCTTAAGCCACCGGGATTTTCAGGCTTATTTGTTAAGGTGGTCTTACCTAGCTCATCCTGACTAGTTTAGGACCCTGGCCACCTAGTCCTGCTTGAATTGCATCATCACTACCCTTCCTACAGCATCCTTGAGAAGTGTTCAAATGCTTTGCAAACACCTCAGGGACAATAGCTAATAACAATTGCAAGCAATTATGTTAAACTTTATCAGGAGCTGTTTCTTGACACAACTTAAGATATTTTACAAGGATTGATGTATCTAATTCTCACAAAACCTTGACATTAAAAATTATTTTCCTTGTGTTATAGCTGGAGGAACTGAGGCACAGAGAAGTTGAATAACCTGCTCAGTGTTGGGCAGATAGGTCATTTGTCTAAGACCACCCAGCAGTATATAGCATCCCAGGTGTCAAATTCTGCTGGACAACTATGGCATATGCCATTAGGGCTTCTTAGACTTGATTTTATTTCCTTTCCACAATGACTATTCAGCAAGAGGCAGAGTGATAAACCCAAAGGCAACCTTAGAAAGATAAACCAACCACTGCATTCTGTACAGTGGAAAAGAGATTCTCCTGTATGTCATTTCTCTGCTCAAGTGAAATACCGTTCTATCTTGTAGTTTTTCATGAGCCTTAGAGAGCTCTGGGGTTCATTAAAAGGCCTTGGTGCAAACAATGTATGAAGTGGGAACACTAATTCAATCAGATCACTCTGTTCTTATCTTCTTAATATAAGGGATTCTGGTTGTTGCTTCTCTGAAAAGCTTGAGACTGGAAGTGTTTTGGGTTTCAGATTAAAAAAAAAACACCTTGGAATAAACTGTCTTGAGAATGGGACCCACATCTAAGCACAAAGGTCATATTTCATCCACCTATAGCCCACAGGTAATTTTATGTAGTATTTTTAATGCCTTTGCCGGGTAGCTAAATGTTATCCTATGAGGTTAAAGTGAAGTACATTATGCTTATGGCATCACGTCAGTGCTCAAAGAATTTCAGATTTTGGAGTTTTAAACTTCTGATTAGGGATGCTCTGCCTGGTGTTATACCTGAAGGGACTGAAGCCCTTGTAGTGTGTTTCTTGCAAAAACTATTCGTAGAAAAGTATTCTTCTGCTATAATGGTATTGGGCAATGACTGATATTCCTCTGTATCTACTAAAAATGATCTGGAATTTTTCACTAAACGAAGCAGGACTTCGGGTGGTGATGGGATGGAGCACATGGATTTCAATTGAGTGGCCAGTTATGGAGTTGGTATGCTCTGCCTCCTCCACAAAAGCACTCACGAGCTTGCTCTCACGGGCAGAATGACATCATTGTCTCTACCTGTGTGCATGTCATGTAGTAGAAGGTCTACAAAGTAGATCTTGAGATAGAAGAAGGAATGTTCTGAGAGGCTTTCATGAAACAAGTCTTCAAAAAGAAGATTAAATTCATCTTAGTTTAGTAAAGTAGCACATTTTTGACTGATGACCTAAAGGCAAAGAAAGGACAGGAAAGGTGTATTTGTTTTCCTATAAGCCATCAAATGGTGTCTGATGATTTTTCATGTCTGACTTTGAATATCAAAATATAAAATAATTGAATACTTCAATATTAAATTGACTACTTTGGCTTCAGAGAAACACAAGAGGTAAGCACAGGAAAACATACACAGATGAACACACACACACACACAAACACACACAAACACACAAGGCTGTTTTCATTGACATAATTGATTGCATAAAATTATCCAAATTTGAAAATCATTTTAAGAGGTGAATTAGAAGGTTTACCTTGATTTAAGAAACAAAGCAATTCTAGTACATGAATCATCTGTCCTAATGTAAAATTTTGGCTTCGTAAGACAAAGGTGTGTATTTGACAAGATGGGATATGTTCAAGATCATATGGTTGTAGACAAAAATGTGTGTCTGAGGAGGAGGCAAATGAACAAAGACAGTAATTATGGGAGAGGGGGGGTCTCTTCTTACCTTGTGAGGTCCCATCCAGTCCCATGAGGAGCTTCAGTGATCTGATGATTTGCTCCGCTATTGGGGGGCTCATGGATACAGCATAAGCAGCACTATGGGAGTTAACCCGTAAATAATCCACAATTTCCTTAAGTAAAGGAAAAAAAGCAGAAAGGTGGCAAATCTCAGTATTGGTAATGAGAACCACATCAAATCCCTCCCCCACTGAAATAACAAAAGATATTTCATTAATACAACTCAGAAGAAAAATGTGGACCAACTTTCAGTGAGCATTGCCAGTTGCTTATTCTATTTATCCTCTACTTGTTAGTCTTTCCTTCAGAACCTATAAGCTAGATGTGGGTGGATGTTGCCACAAATGTAGAGCTGAGGTCTCTAAGGCAGAAACAGAGATGTGAAGAAAACACGATTTCCGAAACATCTGTTGAGTACTTACTTTGCACAAGCATTAATTTAGTATTCAGGAGTGTCCAAAGAACATAGGCTGTGTTTTTTTGTCTTCAAAAATATTACGTGTCATTGTGTCCATGGAAAAACACATGCAACATGCATATGTGAATTAACATTATATGTAAATGAGTGCATGTAGTGGGGCTATAACATGCAGAAGAAAGAGACAGGGCACTGCTAGTTGGAATAGACCGGGATGTTCCAGTTAGGTGAAGAGATGGATGATGCCTTGAAGAATATTTAATAATTTATTAGGATAGATAAAGAAGAAAACTTGGAAGAAAGGGGTGGAGCAAGGGAGCAATTAAACAAAGATGCAGATAAATTAAACAAAGAAAACACAAGGCATATATATTTGATTGTTTACAAAAAAATGGTGCTAAGTCCTCCGTTTCCTCTACTCACATATCTTTGCAACCCAATTTTGTAGGCTCTTCCATTGAGTTGTAGATGAATCTGGGATGGCCTTGTTTCTCCATATAGAGTCAAGAAGATCAAATGAGTAAATGCACATATAGTGCCAAGAAAAGCAGAACATTGTATATGTGGGCTAGCTGGTGGGGATCACTGTTATTGCTGTAAGTGGCGATTATTGAATAGTCATTTTAAGAGTCATAGACATGGTAGTATGAGCGAGAGGAGGGCCCCCAAAGGACACTCACTCCCCCTGGAGTGTCTGTATTCCAGCTTCCTGAGTTTGCAGGGGCAATATTCTTTTCTTTCTTTCTTTCTTTCTTTCTTTCTTTCTTTCTTTCTTTCTTTCTTTCTTTCTTTCTTTCTTTCTTCTTCTTTTCTTCTTCTTCTTCTTC